CATGCACATACTAAATGGCCAACTGGAAATGGTCAACGAGCGAGCGGAAAAGGCGGGAAAAGCGGGGCAAAGCGGGGAAAAGCGGAGAAGGAAGGTCGGGGAAACAGTTTGTTTGGTCTGCCTCGGTTTCTAGTAGGTTTCAAGTAGCTCCTGCAAGGCGGAAGCCCAGACACACAACAACAGTCAACAGCCAACAGCCACTAGCCACTAGCCACCAGCCAACACCTTTTAAAGTGCGGACCAGAAAAGGAGGGCTCTGGCAGCAATTTAAAGACGATTAGAATTGATTGTAATTAGTTTACAGCAGGAGCTCTGCCCGTAATGAAGTTATTTTTACTCATAAAGCGACATTTATATGACACAAATTATGATCATCGTTAGAAGCCCGAGGGGGAGAACTTCCACACAAAGTGGTCATTTTGCTATCGATTCGGAACAGCGGCGGATCTTTGGCAAAATTCTTGGGAGTAAGAGGCTCTTCCAATTGGGGAAGGTCTTATTTTTTAATAATCAAATTTGTTACTTGATTTTTTGTTGATATTATGTTTAATGAGGAATCTTTCTATAGAGCTATTTGTGGAAGTAAAAGTATGTAACAGGAAGTGTTTCCGACTCTTTAAAGATTGTCTAGTTGGTTCAAGAAATGGGTTTGTCTTTAATAAGTTAAATAAATCTGACTTCATTTAGTTAGTGTTTAAATACCCAAAACATGAACAAAACTAGATAGTATATATGGAGTATTAGAAGTTTACTAATAATTCAGAACTATGTTTACCAAATAAATGTACTGTAAACAAATTAAACAATTAAATAGACATGTTCTAAGGCCTAATAAACCTATTCGAAAGCGCCACCATCCAGTTATGGTTTCGAAATCAAATGTGATCCCAAGATGCCATTTGTAGACCAAATAACAATCGGGAAATACTTCTGGACGCTCCGACTCATCCACTTCAGGAACACTCGAAAACATCCCAATGTTGCCACGAAAAGAAGCAGACTTTGAGTGATGGAAACGAGATGATGTTGGATGTCGATACTCCCGAGTGAAATTAACCAAATGTTTAATAACACTGCGGTGAGGAATTTCAAGTGGCGACTTATTAATGGGCCACAGATGTGCGATGTCTTTGGATTTTTGTGGAGTGAGTTATATTTCCTTGTTTTCCCTTCCAGGAAGGTCGATGCAACAATGGTCTGTGCCTCTTTCTGATGACTCATTGCCAAGTTCGAATGTCACGAGTTTCTTGGGCTGGGAATTGGATTTTGGGTTTCGGTTTGGTTTTGGGCTGGGGTTTGGGCTTGGAGCCCTGGGTTTTGAGTTCAGTGTTGTCGGTTGTTGGTTTCTGGGTTTCGCGTTCCCGGTAAGCCGTGTCCGCCTTATCAGAGCTCGAACATTGCCCGACTGCTCGCCAAAGATATGTTCCCGATTTCAGTGTGTGTTTTCTTTTAGGGAAATATTTCACTGGCTGTCGTGGCCTCTGGTCAAGGGAAAGAAGAGGGAGTGCTCCCAGTTTTTTTAAAAACAAGAGCATTGCCCGCAGACGATAAAAGAAAACAACTTTGGGTGGGCACAGCGAGTACCCAAAGTGTTCAAAAGTTACCATATCATAGTTTTGGAATAATTGCTGTTCCAGTCTAATCAAAACTTGAGGAACTCGTTACATAGTGCGATTTAATATTATTATTACGTATGAAAAAAAAAATAGATTGTATTTTTAAACAATAAATGTATTTGGTTTTAGTCTTATACGCAGTTTAGATACAAGATTTAAAGTACATTATAAATATAATAAAAAAACAGAGGAAAAAACGTAGTAGGTCTAAATATTTTGAATATTTTCGAAATGTATCTAAGTATCTGAAAACTTAACTTAAAATTAAACCATATTTATCTTAAATAACGTGAATTATTTATAAAACTAAGAAATAAATTAGTTACGCATTAAGGAAAATTTATGCAAGTTCAATTTGTACACATACACATAACTTTAAAGCATAATAAATAATCTTAAACATCAAATTTGTTCAGAAACATTTTTATCCCATATAAAAGGGGAAAATCAAATTTGTTGCCTTTGAGCCACCTTTTCGGCTTTCTTAAACATTGCTAAATATGATTGGCCTGCATTGAACTCTCCATTGGTTTATCCGAAAAGAAAGAGACGGGCAGAAGGAGAGAGAAAGAGAGGGGGATAGTGATATGTAAATGGCTTATGCTTTGGCAAACTTGCAAATTGCTGTCCACTTTTCATGTTGTCCTGGTCGTGTGATCCCTTTTTTTCCAGTCATGTCTCTATTTTTCCCCATGGATTTCACTTCTTTTTTCAACGAGTCTTTCCCCCTCTCTCTCTCTCCACGTATGGCTATCTCTATCGATAGGATTGTGTTGATGTTTTCTTTTGAAGGCCCGAAAGCAAATGAATCCCAAAAATGTTAGCTGCCCTTTTCGGGTTTTCTCGCTTTAAACTTGATTCATGTCTGCCCGGCGCTCGGCATCGATATATTTTCTTTTTTCCTCGTTTTTTTTTCCAATTTTTTCGGGTCGTTCGGTATCTTTGGCATGCATATGCGGCTTAGCCCCCCTTTCCACGCCTCTTTTCTCCGGCGGCGTGTTGATATGTTTATCATTGTTATTATTTATGTTTAGATTTGAATGTCAATGTCGAATCGAAATCAGCATCGACATTTATTCCAAACGTTCGTAAGGGCAAAGTGCGGTGCAAATGGCTGGAAAAGTCGGAAAATGGAGCGGGGGCGATTTAAAGGAGTTGTTTTTTTTTTTTATTGGAATTTTGGTGTGTCCGCACTTTGAACTTTGATGGCATTAAGCTGTCAATTTGCGTTTTGACTTTAGAGCGCCGGCATCAGGCGCCTATAATCTATAGCCCCAAAAAAAAGGGATTTATCTCGCAGATTGGCCTCTTTTTCCCCTACTTTATAAGCTATTGTTTTAAATCAACAATCTTACAAAATAAAAATCCAAAAATAAATGATGTTAAAAATTGTTTAATTAATTACTTTTTTTTGCTCAAGTATAGCTGCTAACTTATTTATATTTTCCACAACTTCCACTGCTTCCTTAAAAATAATTACATTTATAGCTTTTAAATTCCCTTGCTTAACTACTTGTCTTGTTTGTATTTTCATTTTTAGCTTCCCACACCAAACTTTGTATTGTTTTTACGTTTTTTAATTAATGTTTGGTCTTTTTTTCCCAAAAGACACAAACTTGTTTGGAAAGTGAAAACGAGAACATTAACGAACAAAAATAAAAGTGAAAATGATTAGCATGATGGGGAAGAGAAAAAATATGTAGGACTGTGGAAAAAAATGTAAAAAGAAATTAATTTCCATTGAAAATTCCAAACGCCACTCGAAAAAAAGGGGGACGGCAAAGGAAAAGAAGAAGCTGCTGCGGCAGAAGGCAAACATTCGAAAGACAACGAAATTTTTTAATTGATTTCACTTAAAGCACCAAAAAAACGCAGCATCTGCACAAGAGGAAGAAGACGGAAAAGTATTGTTTTTTTTTATTTGCTAAACTTTTTGTTTTTTTTTGTTTTTTCGATTTTTTATTTTGGGCGAAAGGCCTGAAGACCAGACACACACACTTGACCGTCGAAAACTCAACAGAAAAAGGAAAAGGGACGGAGAAAGGGAGTCAGGGAGGGAGAAAGGCTGATCCGAATTCATACACTTAACAAAATATGGTCCCGAAAAAATAACAAAAGAATTGTAGACATACAGAAGGTTTACTTAAATTTCTAGATCCTATAGGTTCATTAATCTCAACCAGCCCAAAAAAAAATAGTTGTCATTGCAACTGCAGTTTTTCGAGGTACATAAATATGCTTAGATTTCAGAAACTATTTTTTCAAAGTCTTTTTTTTGGTTGGATTTTCAATAAAAAGAATACGGAACAACAATCTATTACTATAGACTAAGTTGTTAAAAATGTGTGTTCTTTGCATTCTAATCAGTTTTCGTTAAGTATTCTTTTTCGTATGTTAAATATAATCAATAAATTGGCTCTCTAAATATATATGTAGTTTTCGGCTCGAAAGTGTAAACTATTTGGGGGAATTGTACAAAACAAGTGCTTTCGGAATTTGAACAGTGTACTTTGGGCCAAGTGGGCCTAATAGGTCATTATGTTGGCCTAAGCAGCGGCAGTGGCTCAAGTGGGGGCTAATAAAATGTACCGAGAAGTGCGAGACAATCTACGGGGAAGATGGCGTGGAATAAAAGGAAAAACAGTTCGGGATTTCAGCTGAAGGATATGCATGTCAGATTCCTCAGGCTTTCTGGGTTTTTTGTTATATTGGCCAGGCCAAAGTGCCTAATTTTCGTGTTCCTATTTTCGGTACTTCCCCTGGTGGTCTCCCGACCTCCGACAAATTTGAAAATAGATTTCACTCAAAGCAACTGGGAGCGGAAAAGTACCAGGAAGAGCCAATGTGTCTATGTAAATTGAACAATTAGCTGCACTCAGAAAAAAAATACAAAAAAAAACTGAGAGACAAATGCTATTGCCATAGGGTCATTAATCATCCTTTGCAGGCGGTCAAAAGAGTGCAGTCTGCTCTTTTGTTTTTTTTTTACACTCAAAAAAATGGCTTTTGTATTTTATTTTAGGAAGACTTTAGAAAATTTTTATAGTTTTATTAAGCCAAAACTATATTACTGTATTTAAAAACAAGTATTATCAGTTGCAAACATTTGACTAGATTTATGTATAATACCCTCTGCAAAAGTATACAAATAATTGTAACCGATAATAATCGCCAGAAAAATGTCTAAGTGCAGTTTGCAACTAAGAAGAGCACTGAAAGCTAAGCGCGGCTTAAGCTCACTCTTCACAAGAGAGTTCTTCTCTTTGCCGGCAGTCCATGAACGTGTGTATATATTTGTATATGATCGTCGACGATCGTCGCTCGCGCTCTCTCCCGCTCTCCCTTTCTCTGGCGGCGACTGCGGTGCCGACGTCGACGCCCGCGCAGCGGTTTGAAGCCGCTTCTCATTCCAAAAACAACTGTGAACGTGAACGGTAACGGTGCGTGCTCTCTTCTTCTTCTTCTTCTCTTTTCGAAAAGAACTGAATAAAAATTAAAGAAAAACGAAAAGAAAAGCCAGCAACAATAGCAAATAAAAAACAACAAAACGTTTAATTCCAAATTTGAAATTTAAACAACAAATTTAAGAGACATGTGCAATCGGCTAGAACGTGAGCATATAACTTTAAATAAAACAAAAATAAATAACAATGTATAGAGTTTCAATATATTCTCTATTTCCCCGTAAAAATGTGTCTAGTTAAAAGAAAACTAGAACGTTATTTCGTGTACATTACGGTTTTTATTATTTTTTAAAATTTTTTTTCGTGTTGTCTTTATTCTTTCCTAAATTTGACCCGATTTCAATTTGGATTTCAACAAGAACCTAAAACATAAAACAAAAACGAAAACAAAACGAAAGAATGCATATCTGTGAAAGGAAACAGAAAAAAGGAGAACGACATAAAGTGAAGTAAAATAAAGTAAAATAAACTACATACTACAAAAGAGTGTATTTATATACTATACACATATATATATATATATATATATTTATACTATACTATGTTGTGAAACAGTTTTTGTAGTTGCTATTGTTGTTGGACTTACAGCAACAGGCGTCCGATAATTTATAATCTTAAAAATATATGTGCGCTGAACATATACATTCGCCTATGTGCACTGAACAAATTTAAGATCACTTTGGCTTAAAAAATAGCATATAGCACTTAAATATTAAAGTGACTTGGATCAATTTAATGCTTTATGGAAATATTTTTTTAGGATATTAAAGCCGATATTAAAAATACATAAATAGTTCTGAAATGTTCAAGTCAAAAACTATTTCACTGTTCCTTAAAACACAAAACATGTCAAATTTGGTACTGTAAAGAAATGAAAATAATACTTAAATATTACTAGTATATCAGAACTTTTATAATAGTTTTTTGTGTCGAAGAAAGCTGTATTTTTTGTTCTTTTGTTTTTGTTCCATTCAAATATTAATATATTATTTTCCGTTTTTCTTCCCAACAGTTTATTACAACTCAAAATATTTTAAATCGATTTTTTTCACGTGATTTTTTTGTGTGTGTGCAAAAGTCTTTCTTTGTGAATGAAATAATACGTGCGATACAGTTAAAGAAATAAAATAAATAAAAAGCAAAATTCAAATAAAAACAGTGTGTGTTGTCATAATGACAGAAACAAAACAATAAACGCAGCGACAAAAGGCGATAAAACAGCAGCGAAAAATGAAAGGCAACCAGCGACGGGAAAACTTTAAGCAATTAAACAAAATTTAGACCCATATAAAATACGTTTCAACTGGCTAAATCCAGATAAGCGAAGCAACAAAAAATAATTTAAAAGATTCTCAAAACAATCAAAAAACAAAAAAAAAAAAACACATGCAAAAACGAAACGAAATTCAAAACGAACCAATTTGTGGTGTTTAATATTTATTTATATGCTAATTTATTTTTACAATAATTTGGTATTAACCCACAAACCAACAACAACAACAGAAATCGGGTGAAAGATAAAAAGAAGCCGAAAAAAAAAACCAAAAGCACGCGCGCATCTTCTTTAACATCTTTGTTTTGGGATATAAAACAGCAAAAGTAAGTGGATTATATTTTTGTTTTGCTTATAATTTTAAGTGTGTCTTATAATTTTCTTCGTTTTCATTGCTTTTTGCTGTGAAAACTTGTTTTTTAATGCAAATTCAATTGAAACGAAGGCAGCGAAATTTTTTACGGCCCCTGCGAATGCGGATTTCAGTCTTGAATCGCTTAAAATCTCTCTGGTCTTTCTGATCCTCCTCATTTGTATTATCTGCTTGGTCTCGGGATGTCTCATTTCCATGGGCTTGTCCACGGGGATTTTCCGGGTTCACGCCCGATGTTGACCTTCTGACTTTTAAGGATGTGGGAAAACTAGACGTTCTGCGAATGCGGAAGATCTTTTGCTGACTTTTGCTGATTATATACTTAGATAGTTCCACTCTCATTTGGAAATTTGTTTTTGTCTTGCAAGGATCGGGCCTCAATAGGAATAACATAGGGCGTGACTGGGATAATAGCTTTAAATGATCATATATTTAACTAAATTTCACATTAATATAAAAACATCTTGGAGATATTTAAAAAACTAGTACTTAAATTTCAACAGCTGAAAACAACTCAAACCTGATTAAAAATAACGACTACAATTGTACAAGTTTTCCTCAATTGTTGGTTATCTCAATAACAACAGATTACTAGAGAGTTCCCACAGATCGATCCAATGAACCAAGTTTATACTTTATGTGGTGTCTTATCAGTTTTCGCTATTAAACATGTGCCAAGCAAGAACAGCTCACGAATATAATTTATAGAGACGAGTGCCATGTGATTGTGGGAATGGTAATAATTATACTGATGCTGATTTCACTTGGTGACCCCATCAGCGCCAAAGTGGCAAAACGATCACTTCCGCTGACCACAAAATTAAATCGTTGTTTTAAAACGCAATACTAAAAGCAAAAACCAAAACCGAAACGAATTCTACATCCAAATTCGAGTCCCGCATGAAAGTGTAACCAAGTTAATTGCATTTAACCGACTGTCCAAAAAAATAAAAAGTTGAAAGGGTGGTAATACACTCGAGTAGCTCGAAAAATGTTGACATCCAAAGGGGAGAATCGGACACTGAGAAAAAAATGTATATTTTGTATCATTTCATTATTATTTGTTAAATATAAAACTTTTAAATTTCAAAATGGTATAAAGTATTTTTCACTCAATTATGTAGATGAAGAATATTTTTAGATGTTGGACTACAGCTATTATAACATTTTGTTTCAGTGCAAGTGCCAAAATGCCCGCAAAACGGTCGTAAAGTCATTATCAGCATTAGAAAGTGTTACAGGCGGCACGCAAATCAAATTCCGGACATGGTGGATGGCACTATATAGACTTGGTGGGAATCTGTGCGAGACCCAGACAGTCAGACAGCCAGACATCCCCACTCCACGAATCCAATTCAAAAACACCCGCACCCTCAGAGAACGTGGAATGAAATCAGCAACCGAAAAACAAATAAAACGAGTCTATCACGAAATTATTTTCGAGGCTCTTTGAGTCACTTGTGCCCGTGGCGATATAGCCGTGGTTAAATTGATTCAGCTGCATCGGGGCAAACAGCATCGGATGGGCGATCCGTAGGGCAGTACGTGCCCGGGAGCCCAAAGACCGACAACCGAAAACCGAAAACCAAATACCAAAGCCGATATCCGACCTCCACTCACACTCAAAAACTTGATGAATGTTTGTTCTGGAATTTTCTATTTCCCATTTCTTTGAGGTACAGATCACGAATACTTTGCTCTCAAACAGATTCCAAGAACTCGGCGAATATTAAAGGGTCTGGGAATAGTATGAGGGGTCAAAAACTCCAGTAAAAGTTCTTAGCGAGAAGTACTTAAATATAAGGTGTATTTCGACTTAAAAGACTGGCTCTAAACAAGTTTGGCTTTAATTGTTTATAACAATTACATGATTCTTTGACGACAATAAATCCATAATAAGTGTTTCAAAACTGTACATTTAAGTAGTTTTTGTGATTTTAGTTATCTCCGTTATTCTCCAATTATTTCTAATATAAGGCTGAAGGTCTTAAGAGAGCTAATTAAATCGTATTTGACTATATGGCTTCCATTTTATTTACATTGGTTCTGGTCCAGAAGCTTTGCATCCCATTCTGAATTTCTTATCGCAAGCGTTTCTTTATTTATCTTTTTTTGGGATCATATACACCATACATGTGGTATTCATTCATTTATTCACCTGTTGAACACGTTTGGGCGGCAAATGCTAATAAGGTAATACACATTTGCCGTTAGAGCGAGGTCTCCACCCGCTTGAGACCCCCATTTTCGTATCCCCCATTCTAAGCCCCCTTTTCCATCTTTGAGCCCCATGTGCAGCGTAGCGTTTCCCTCTCTCTCTATCCCTTTCTGGCCCGCGTGGTTATTTAACCATGAAGGCGGATGAATTTGATGATGAGGAGCGTAGGGCGGGGATGTAAAAGAGGGCTTGGGGGCTTGCAGGGGCGGTGACGGGGGAGTAGGCTCGCTGAGTCATCGCCAAGTCAAAAGCAAAGCACGCACTGCGCTCGCCTAAAATCAACCAAGCGTCAAAGTGTCGACGAACAGGTGCCTCGGTCGCAGGGGTGGGTAAAAAAGGGGCCTACGAAACTCGGGAGGGATGAGGGGGCAGTTGAGAGACGGTCTTCGGAGCATTACCAGTGAAGTCAATTTCTGGTCGGAATATATGATTTAAATGAATTTTTTTTGTACAAGTTTTATATTTATTTCAAAAGTAATGTAAAAGTGTTCTAGTCAAACACTCAAAAATTTTCATAAATTAAAAAGAAACTGTACTCAAATAATTATATTTAATTACATCTCTGATATATTATGTTAAATTTGAAATTTAAAGAGTGAATATGGTAATTATTTAATTGCTTTTAAAATCATATACTGGAAAACTATTAATTAAACTATATAATATATTAAAAATTTGTTTTCAAAGCTTTAACTAATATAAAGTTAAAAATGGTATGAATAATTTCAAATTAAGTGGGTATCTTTATAAATTTAAGTAATTAATCTAAATTAATTAAATAATTTGTTATTGAAGAATGCTAAGATCGAGTATATAAGGATCTTAATATGTTTTGAGTGTTTGTTAAAAATTATCTTTATATGTTTTGAACGTAGCTAATCACTTGAGTTATTCTTTTTTTCGAGCATAATTTTCATTTTACGTATTGATTTTGAATATGATGTGCCAATTATTTATTATTACTTTGACCATAGTAATTATAAAATACTGAAAGCACAATTGGTGTTTTTTTTGCTTGTGTGGTTGATATTGCTGTTGCTGCTGCCACTAGTGTTTCTGTTGTTGTCGGCGGCAAGCGGAAGCAGAAAACAGTTTGGGGGCAGCGTCTAATCGCCGCTGCTCCATCAGAATTGTAGCGACTATACCTATTTGGACGCTATATGAACGCAGGTGCACTGCCCCACCAGCAATGTGTTGCTGTTGCTGCTGCTGTTGCTGCTTTTACAATGCGATTTTTTATTGTTCTTGTCCGTAGACACCGCTCGTAATTTCCATTACACGCCACAGCCGTTCGTCTTTCTTTATGACGACGATGATGATGACTCCTTCTTCCGCTTCTCGATGTAAGTTCGCTTCAGTTCCAGCTGAATGCGTCGCTGCTACTTCCGCTTACAATTCTTTTTTATTACACTTTATTACACATTTTACATTCTGTTTCCATCATTTCTATTTCTACTGGGCTCTTTCTCTGCTTTGCTTTTGGCTAAATGATTTAATTATTCTCCGTGTGTGGGGAGTTTTCTATTTATCTCCAAAAAAATAAAAACCCCTTTGTTCTAACTATTTATTTAACTTTTGTGATCCTAGGTGCTTATGTGTGTAAGCGATTTTAACCAAGACTTGTTATTTATTTGATATTTGTTATATTTGTTTTTTCACCATTTTCTCAAGATTTTTCCCCACTCGTTTTCTTTTGCATTTGTTTCCCAGGTTATTCGTGTTCTACACCTCTGACAATTTTGTGAGTATTTTTTTCGTGCATCTTTTTCGGTTGCACTCCCACGTTTACCCCACTAGTTTTCCCCCGATTTCCCCATTTTCCCCCCGTTTTCCCCCCGTTTTCCACCCCTTTTTTCCATTTTATGTTTGAGCATGGCAAGTGTGAAAGCATATGTTTTGACAATGCTATCGTTGTGTCCCAGGCCCAGAGCCTAACATCCAGCCCCAGGGTTTTTTGGCAGCGGATGTTGAATGTTGCAGAGGGTTTGTTGGGGGGGGGGGGGTGTTGTTGCAGGTGGGCGGAGTGGGTGGAGGGAATGCAAAGCATTTTCATTGCAAGTTTTCGGCTCAGCGCAAAATTAAAACGCGTGTTTGCCAGCGACTCTATGTTGCTGCCGTGTTGATGTTGCTGCTGTTGCTGCTGTTGCTGCTACAGAATCTCCTGTTGTTGCTGCCGTGTCGTTGATGTTGCTGCTGTAATTGTTGGCGTCCGTTACAGCTGTTTGCGGTGGCCAGGCAATGTTTTGCTTGAAAATTCCCATTTGGCTTTTTGGCATTTTTATCCCACACTCCCTTTCCTTTACTATATTTTTTTGCCCATATTTTTTTTTTTGCATATTTTTTGTTTGCGTGTTTTTGGCACTTTTTGTTATGTTATTTCTTGTTTATGTTAGTGTGTTGCCGCAGTGTTGTTAAGGTTGCTGTTGCCGCTGCAGTTGTTTATTATGCAGTATGTTGCATTTTTCGTGTTTTCGTTTTATGACAGCAACAACAGCCATTTTAAACAAATAAACACGATAAGCCAATGAGATGATTAACAAGAATGTTATATTCAAAATCCGAAAAATTGTGCTAAGCCATTTAGTTGTCTTAAATCTAATGAGTGGGGAAAAGCTTAAGCAATGTTGTGCAAGAGAGCATATTAAAAAATAATTAATTGGGAGAACACTTTTAATTGCGTATTTTAGCACTTTAAAAACATAGCAAAACAATATAAAAACTGGACGAAAAGTGCA